TCACAAGACATTCTTGGCAAACTAAGAAGATTTGTAATAGCTGAGAATTGATTGGGTTTTATGTTTCTTCTGATAACTCCTACATCAGATCAAAGTTCGGGTATGTGGAAGTTGACTTGCTAAAAATACATTTTGGGTAACAATTACTAAAATACTTCTCCAAGGATGCTCAGTGTTTAATCCACTGTGTTTGTGCCCTTGTTCCTTCAAAGTTGCATTGTATCCTCAAGTCTCTCTTTGTTCCATCATCTCACATGAAACAACATGAAACATGGACATGTACCCCATGGGGCTCAAAGAAATCAAGTGTACAGATAGTCCAGGACTAGAGGTTAAATACATTCACAGCTCAGTGAGACTCCGAGATTGGGCAGAGATGTGAAGAATTTCTTATCTCAGGAGCAGCAATATGTACAGTTGCTAAAATGCTTGTTAAAAGGAACAAGTGGAGTGAAAGTGAAAGAAAAATTGCTTACCAAAGTTTTTTTAGTGCTATTAAAGCAACATTGCTATCGGTTTCAGGCAGCTCCTCATGTTCAATTAAAATTGACTATGTGGAAAGTATTGAGAACTTTGGGGAAATTTCTCAAAGAGAAGCTATACTATTTGAGGTTTGGTCTTTATTTAATTTCCAATGCTTTGGAGATGCTGCAAAGAGTGAAGAGTAAGAGAAGGCTCCATCCATTTTGCAATAAGGAGATAAGAAGGAAAATATTTTGGCTAGGAATTGTTAGTCAGTTGAGGAGGATGTTTTCTCAGAGGAAGATACAAAGTTTAAAATGGAGTAAATGCATAGGGTCTAGAAGTGAGAATGCTAGTTAAAACCTTATATAGCTGATAGATCTATAAACCTATGGGAAGAGAGACTTGTTACAATATTGGGTGGCTCAAGTTGATACTCTTTCAATTTCAGAATTAGTGTATAGAAAGATATTAAAACTGAGATACATTCCTGGAAAAGAAAATAGAAAAAAATTGTCAAAGAAAATCACAGGCTATACAGGTTTCCCAGCCATAGAATGAACCAGGAACTGACTATTCAAATTTGGAGTAGGGGCCACTGCTAGAACAGCCACTGTCATACTCTTAAAATGGTTAATTAGTAAGCTTGTTTGGGTCGAGCAGTGGACACTTACTAAAGACAGATTTCAGGCACTTGTAAAGGTACAGTGAGATGCTATCCTTAATGAGAAAACTATTAGTTCTTGTAATTCTCTATTTGTAATAAAAAAGAAATCTGGAAAATAGAGAATATTAACCTATTTAAAAGCTATAAATAAGGTGATTCAATCTATAGTATCTTTGCAGCCTAGAATTCCTTTACTTTTCATATTGACCAATGATTTACATATTATACTTGTTGGATTAAAAGGCTGTTTCTTCAATATCCTGTTACAAGAACGAGATAGAGATATGCTTTTACAGTGCCTACTTGTCTTAAATATGTACCTGAAAATAGCTATTGATGGAGTTTCTTCTTCTCAGTATATTAAATGATCCAAATTAATATCAATATTTCCTGTATCAACCACTGGAATAGGTTCATAAGCAATTTTATCAATCCATTATTTATATGAATGATATTTTATTTGCTGCTTCTGAGACAGATACCTTATAAATAATGTTTAAAGAAGTAAAATAGATTTTACTTTGTTGGGGAATGTAGATTACACCTGAGAAGATGCAGAAAGAGAATTCTATAAACTATTTATAATTTAAATTAAATCAACAGGAAATTCAACGCAAAAAAGTTCTGATCAGAGGAGAAAAATTGCACTCTAATTTATTTTCAAATATTACCGGGATACAGGAATTGAGTACAACCCACTATTGGATTGACAACTCAAGAGTCACGAAATTTATTTAAAATATTTCATGATATTTAAGGATTTATTCTGAACAATATAAGACATTTCTGATTTAAATAGTCTAGACTGAAGGCTGAAGCATAAAGATAACTGGTCCATGTGGAAAGAAAGGCTACGAAAGGCATATCTGGATGGATGAGATCCTAAACTTGAATGTATTTTAGGTACTTTTCCCATTCCCATACAGGAATTATCATGCAAAGGATGGACAATATTTTAGAATGAATTTTTTAATCTACAGAGTAAAGAGTGAAAAAAACTACACAGAAAAGGTTTCAGAAATAATTATAAAGGGAACAATAAGACTTAGTAGTTTGTCAGGAATGTATCTAGTTGAGATGTTTTTACCCTATATTAATGCTGAAATTATACAAATGTGGGTAATTATCAATGATTTGCAAACATCTTGCAGTAATTATTTATGAGAAATCAACACCAAATATCCCAAAAGTAAAGACTTTAATTTATAGAAATAACAGAATTAATTCTTCCCTAACTATTTCTGGGCATCCTATACTTTATAACAATGCAAATAAGTGAAGAATGTCTGTTTATAAAACAAGAAACATAAGTAAATTAATTCAAAGTCTATATCCTCATCCCAGAAATCATAGTTATATGCCATTCTATGAGTTTTATTAGACTTTAATGAATCTTACTATAATTACTTATTTTCAATATGGAGAAAAGGTTGTATTACATCCAAAAACTCTTTTTTTTAATTTATTTATTTATTAAGGATTTCTGCCTCCTCCCCACCACCGCCTCCCATTTCCCTCCCCCTCCCCCGATCAAGTCCCTCTCCCTCATCTGCTCAAAGAGCAATCAGGGTTCCCTGACCTGTGGGAAGCCCAAGGACCGCCCACCTCTATCCAGGTCTAGTAAGGTGAGCATCCAAACTGCCTAGGCTCCCCCAAAGCCAGTACGTGCAGTAGGATCAAAAATCCACTGCCATTGTTCTTGAGTTCTCAGTATTCCTCATTGTCCACTATGTTCAGCTAATCCGGATTTATCCCATGCTTTTTCAGACCCAGGCCGGCTGGCCTTGGTGAGTTCCCAATAGAACATCCCCATTGTCTCAGTGTGTGGGTGCATCCCCCGTGGTCCTGAGTTCCTTGCTTGTGCTCCCTCTCCTTCTGCTCCTGATTTGGACCTTGAAATTTCTGTCTGGTGCTCCATCCAAAAACTCTTATACTTCTTTCCGTTAACTAGCATTAACATTATAGAATTAGTGCTACTATTTATGCAACTACAACAAACAATTTAAGACAGGAATTAATCCTCTGTACAACCCTCATTTGGCTTCAGGGTAGTTTTCCTGGGCCATGAGCAAAATGAGATGAAGAAATTTATTAAATACTAATAGAAAATGTGTTGGAAGCTTCATAATTTTACAAAAATATCATATTAACAGTAAGTGATTAAAGACAAAATTTTGCATTAGCTGGCAACAAGCTCAACACATTATTAAAAAGCCTTACTTGTGTAAGCCTTCTTTGTGTAATCAAATTCCTTTGCTATGGGAAACAATCCTCAATGTAGTGGGAGAGCCCCTAGGGCTTTGCAGGTGGTTTGATTCTGGAGTGCTAGAACATGGGCTTTGATTTGCCTTTTGTGACTTCTATCTTCTATTTGAAGTATGTGAATCTTATCTGAGTGCTTTCCAAGAGATTCAAACCCTATGGCAAGTTAGTTGCAGAACAACTGTGAAAAGAGAGCAGTTCTGTGACTTGGAACTGCTTGGCATATGTTTCCTTTGTGGAATTTCAGATATGAAGTTTTGGTTTGCAGAAATTTACTTGCAAAGGTGTAAATTGTATAACAATAAAATTGTCTTTTTCAAAGGCATGACCATTCAGTTCAGCAGAAGCTAAGTCCCCTACAGCCAAAAAAGGCTAAAATCATCCTAGAGTGAACCTGTTTCTTCACCAGCCAGAACACTAAAGGTACATAAAGAAATAAAATTTAATGGCTATTAGACATACAGCAAAGAAAAACAAGCCTACAATTCTACAATTCACAATCCCAGAGAACCTAGACCACAAAAAGGACACTAAGAGAGACATAAATGGATTGAATTTACGTGGGAATTAAAAAATACAAGATCTCCTGAGTAAATTGGGAGCATGGGGACAATGGAAAGGGATAGAAGAGGAGGGGAAAGGAAGGGAGAGAAGCAGAGAAAAATATATAGCTCAATAAAGTCAATAAAAAATTTAAAAAAGAAATGAAATTTGGCAATTGGGTATATTTCATTTAGCAGAATTTGGAAAACTAAATATATAAATCACACTATTGATACATGTCCTGAATTTTAATGGCCATCTCATTTGTGTTCTAAAAAGGCTGATTCTATAATTACATATTTATTAGAGGCAATGGCTATAATGGGCATATTGATACAAATTAGAAGTGATAATGCTCCTGCTTATGTTTCCAGGAAAATGAAACATTTTTTGCATGATAAAAGATAAAACTCATTACAGGGATGCCGTATAATCAAGGACAAGGCATTGTTGAAAGATCTAATCACACTCAAAGAGATGCATATAAAACAAAAGGGGGTATAAAAAGTCCAGTGAATAGATTACACAATGCATTGCTAACTTTTACATTTTTAAATGTTAATGAATCAAGGACAACAACTACTGAAAGGCATTGCATTGTGGAAAAATGCTGAATTGGTTCAGGCTCTGTACTACAAGTATGTTTCCGCATCAAAATCAAAACCAGAGAAGGGATTGCAATGGGGCTGAGGTTATGCTAGTTTCTGCAAGAGATAATCAAAATTGATGTTGTGGATACATCAAAAATTTATTTAAAAAAAAGTTCAGCAAGAACAAGAGAAGTCTCTTGAATGCTTTGGCTGCTGACATGAATGACGTGACTCTTGGAAAGAATAGATACAGAAAGCCCTTGAAACAGACAGCTGATCCTTCTAATGGGGACAACTTAAGATACTGTCTTATGAAGGAGACAGGATAGTTTAACTGGTTGGGAAACTTTTGAATACTCCAGTTTTGTTCCTTGCTATGCAATCTGTGGTTATTTTCAGGTAACAGGGACCAATTGTGCATATTAAACCTCAAAATTAGCAAAAGAGTAAGTTGTGGAGATACAGATACACCTATAATGGTTAATGAATCTTCTTCAATAAGTGATCCTTATGATGACTTAGAACCTGATAAGTCTAAGGAGGAGGTAGAAGAAATAATGAATTATACTGCAGACGTTCAAAGAATTCCTAGTTGTGTGGGTAATGGAAATTAATGTCTAAATATAACTTTTCAAGAGTAGTTATGTATAGTTAATCATAATACTATCCAGGATATTCATAAATTTCATATGCTTCCTGCATCTGGTTTTAGGATAAAGGAGATGAACAGTTCCATAAATCTGCCTTTTTGTGAGATGGGGGTTACCAACAATGAATCTGTCTGAATACATTAGCAACAATTTAAAATTTAGAGCCCTTGAGTATTTATTAATATCTTCCATAGAGAAGCTATTGATTAGAGCCCACATGGCTTCCCTTGAGGAAAATGTTCTCACTTAGGTTTAAAGTAGAAATGACATCATTCTAATGAAACTGTGAGGATTAATTATAATTCTAATGAATCTATTCAATTACTTGATATTGGTATATCAGATCCTCTCCTGTAATTTGGTAACCGAGTTAGACTAATTTGTGGAAACTGGGAAATGCCTTTTACCCTCTTGAAGCATGGAAAGGAAGGTTAAACATTAATGATAATAAGCTTACTTTGTCCTTTAGCTTAAATCAAAGTCACCCCTTATCATTACCTTGTTTATTACTAAAATTTCCTGTGCATCACCACCCTAATTATAATCTTGTGAATTCTGTACTCTTCATATGGTGTATGAGTTCCTTCTGTTTATGTGTTGCTTTCATTGAATGATGAATAAAGAAACTGCCTTGGCCTAGTCAATAGGGAAGAACTTAGGTAGGCTGAGTAGACAGAGCTAAATGCTGGGAAGAAGGGCAGAGTGAGACATGCCATGGATCTCCTGCCTGAGACAGACACTGGTTAAAATCTTGCTAGTAAGCCACAGTCACGTGGCAATACACAGATTAATAGAAATGGGTTAAATTAAAATGTAAGTATAAGCCAATAAGAAACTAAAGCTAGTGGGCAAAACAGCAATTTAATAAATACAGTTTCTGTGTGGTTATTTCAGGTGTAAGCTAGCCGGGTGGCTAGGATGGAACAAAGGGCCCTGCTGTCCTTGCAACCCTCATACCTGTGTTACTACTAGTAAATCTTTATATGTCATTTCTGAAAGTTTGTACATTCCTTTTTCTTTTTGGTTTTATGTGACAGGGTTTCACTGTATAGCAGTCTTGGCTGTCCTAGAACTATGTCTTGTACACCAGGCTGGCATCAAACTCACAGAGATCCTCCTGCTTCTTCCTCTCAAGTTTGGGGACTAAATATGTGCACCACTGCCACCCAACGAGAGCTTGTACATTCTTTATTTTTTATTATTCTAACAAATAGAAATTTTTTAGTAAAACAATAAATTAAATTGGACTAATACTTGTCCAAATCCACTGAATCACAGCCAGGATAGAAAGAACCTTTGAGATATTTCCCAGCAGCCAGTATTGGGGCAGCCACTCTTGTATGGGCAGACTCCTACTTTATTTTACTTGTTTCACAGTAGGGCCACTCTCACATGTTTGCTTTGCTCTCAAGCCCCTGCTGCACTATTTCAAATCTAATCCATTTTTAAATTGATTTTTATTGAGCTCCACATTTTTCTCTGCTCCCCTCCCTGTTTTTCCTCTCCTCTTCAACCCTCTCCCAAAGTCCCTATGCTCCCAATTTACTCAGGAGATCTTGTCTTTTTTTGTTTAAAGCAAGACCAGCATTCTGGAGACAGTGAAATGGTAGAGGCCATGGCAAGACTCTCCTGGTGATGATTCTAGCTCAGATACATGCTAAAAGAATATTAAGAAGTCATCAGATGATTGGGCTGATTATTACTATAGCTTTGAGAATTGCTACATAACTGCCAATGCTGTTTCAACTTTATTGCCCTTACATAAGCAAATGCAAAGTCCTAAGTTCACGAGAGACTGGCATTAGCATTTTGCAGAACTTTAGCCCAAGTTCTAAAACAGATAGTGAGATAGCTAATTTGAGATATCTGTTGGCAATTTTGAGGGAATAAATTAAAGGAATGTTAGATATTATTGTATTACACATTTGAGTTTTAATGATACCAAATATGACTTCAAAAAGGTTAAAATGTATTTGATGGAACAGCCTAATTCTTCTCAAATAGTTGAAATTAAAGAAATTTTATAAAAAGGTTTTCTGATGTGACAGGAATGGATGTTACGGACAGTCTTGCAGATATTTTAGCTTCTTTCAATCCTATGCACCATTTTAATAGATTTTTTTGTTCTATGCATTGTTATACTTGTTTTTGAATTAATAACTTTACTGCCTTTTACATATATTCTGGATTATTTGTGCAATATCATGATACAGCATGATAGAAAAGGCTTTATTCACTGTATGGCTAAATAATCTTCAACATATTATAATTCTTAGTTTATTTAAAAAACTTAAAGAAAAGGGGAAATAGAGTGGGAAATCTAGTAGAGACATTGTACTTGGTATTTATTTCAGAGTGATGGACACATAGACTTTAAAGATTTTTTTTTTGCAAAGAAGCAGTGAATATTATCTTAGTTTTACGGAGTTACTTTTCCTATAGGAGCTTCAGAGTCTTTGCATGACTTCAGTCCCAAGACATTCCTGGCATACTAGGAAGTACTGTAATGCCTGAGATTTGCTTAGGTAATATGCTCCTTCAGACAACTTCTAGATCAGATCAAAGGTTGTAGTATGTGGAAGTTGACTTGCTAAAAATACCTTTTGTGTAACTATCAATAAAACATTTTTCCAAGTCTGCTCAGGTCTCAATTCACTGTGATTGTTCACCAAGATCCTTGGACATTTCCTTGCATCCCTTGTTTCTCTTTTTTTTGGTCATGCTGCATGAAACAGTTTATCCACAGGCTAATGCTCAGTTTCTGGTGCAGCCATATCTGATGTAATGGCAAAAGTCATAAATCCAGGAGAGCTGTGTGACAAAGATCCAACAGAGATGAACCACATTTTGTGAGCACTGTTGTGTCTTATTTCACTTTCGGCTTTGATCATTGCATGCTACATGTTTTTGGGGGGCTTTTAATACAATACAACTTGGGAATAATGGATTGCTGGAAAATTTCTTATCAATCCTTAATAATTTCTTCCAGGAGTACTGATTCTAAACATCTCCAGGAGATTCTTGAGCTCCTTATCTGGTCCTACTTGAAGGTCTTCCTTACCTTACATTTTGGTGCAGATACTGATGATTGAATCCTTTCGTGATGGTGATCTACCCTTGTGGTTTAAGTCACACTGGGACACTATCCCTACTAACCTTCTGACTCTCATATCTTGCAGCATGTCATCTCCCAGCAGCAATTAGGTAAGTTTGCCATTTCATCAGTGTAAACATTTCCTTGTGCCCTGGAAGTTTTGATACAAATACCTATCCCTGTGCTTACTGAGGAACATGTAAACTTTGAAAGGTCAACAGAATTTCTAAGGGGGAATTTGGTGAACTAGAGGAGTTGGGAGCAAATCAGAATACAAGACTATTTTCACTATATGCTCAGGTGATTATGTGGCATATGAGTTTGAGGGCCACATATGGCATACACAGCAACAAAGTTAGATTGACTAGAATTATCTTTGCCCTCATAGGGCCTAATAGTGATGGCAAAGAATGGTGTAGAAAAGTATTAAAAGAATGAGGTATCAACAGGGCAGAAAACCCTGACTGCTCTTTGGACTGGAGAGGGAGGGGGAAAGGAGTGGGGGGAGGGGGAGAAGGGTGGGAGGAGGGGGCGTAGGGGGGGAGGAGGGGGAGGGAAATGGGAGGCTGGGAGGAGGTGGAAACTTGTTTTTTTTCTCCTTTTCTCAATAAAAAAAAATCGTTTAATAAAAAAAAAAAAGAATGAGGTATCAGAGCCAGGCGGTGGTGGCCCACGCCTTTAATCCCAGCACTCAGGAGGCAGAGGCAGGCGGATCTCTGAGAGTTCGAGGCCAGCCTGGTCTACAAGAGCTAATTCCAGGACAGGCTCCAAAAGCTACAGAGAAACCCTGTCTTGAAAAACCAAAAAAAAAAAGAAGAAGAAGAAGAATCAGGTATCAGGACCGCTTAAGAAAAATTAACTTGTGCAGACCCTCTTTGGTGTCATATGACCAAGGGACAAAAGAACAACAGGATTAGATATATAAATATATTTTTCAATATATTTTTACACGTATATATGAGATTTATTAGACTGTCTTAGAGTATGTGATCTTGGTAGTCCAACAATGATTATCTCACATTGGAAACTAAGAATTCACTAATTTCTTAATTCATGAAGCTGAATGTCTCAACAGTCCCAAATTAGTTCTGGAAGCCTGGAGAATTCCTGGAGAGCTGCTGATGTGTAGTCTGCTGGTAGCCATGACAGAGGAGCAGCAGGTGACAATTGACTCCAGGGCATCAGCCCACCAGGAAGCAAAATCGTGATGAATAAATCTCAGATAGGCAAAGATGCAAGAGGAATATTTGTTACTACTGTTGTGTCTTTGCAAGTTTACTGCTTCCATTTTTTTTCTGATACCTTGCAATTAATACAGTATGATCACCTTTTTGAAATATCCTGTTTTATTAGGCATTTTTATCTGCGAATTATTATGAAGATGATTTCCTCCTAAGCTGTACTAACTTCTAACTAATCCGTTAGAATGATTTACAGATTATTAAACAATGTCTAGTTGTAAATTGAATGTTTAAGAATCTAGTAGTTGTTCATGTGTCAAATCTGGATGTCTCAGTATATGCTGGAATCACAAAGAATTAATGTCAGTGAAGGAATGGATGTTCTAGCAAGGCAAAATTAATCAGGCAAATAACAAAAGAATAATTTTCTATGTCCTTAGATAAACTTCCAGCAGAAGGTGTGGCCCAGATTAGAGGTGGGTTTTCTCTAGCTCAAATGTTCTGAATTAATAGTATGTTTTCATACTTCAAGATCCAGATTAGAAGTGGATCTTCCTACTTCAAGTTAATCAAAAACCCCTCTCAATGTGTGCCCTTCATATTTTGTTTTTTTTTTTTTGGTTTTTAAGTGATTCCAGATATAGTCTAGTTGACAAAAAAGAATATCCATTATATATGGGAAGTTGAGGTTTAAATGCTTATGTATCTTTCTATTTAGGTGAGTGTGGATATGGGTTATGAAACTAAAAAGGGTCCATTGAAGGAGGAAAAGGTGAGGTGGGAGGAGAAGAAATATGATGCGTGAGTCATGAAAATTGAAATTAGTGAAAGGTACAGTAGGGTAAGTGATCAAAGGGAAACAACAGAAACAAATTATGTTTGAAAATGCCATGATAGAATGTTATACTTTGTCTTTGAGTTTTGCAACTGTACAAAAATATAATTAAGGACTAGAAAAACTGTTCATTTAATAGAACATTTACTGCCAAAGCATGAGAATTGGAGTTGTGAGTATATAACTATATTAAAGCAGGACAGATGTTGCAACTACCTCAGATCTCAGCTCTAGGGAGGCAAAGACAGGCTAGACAGAAGAAATATAATCACCATGCTCTGGGTTCGGTGAGAGTCCCTATTTTCAAATGTTAATTGGACCTGATGGAGAACAATACTAATCTCCAAAGTAGGGCTTCATCAAACATATACACACAAATATATGTGCACCTATATATGAATGCATCACATGTGTGAAAATGCATACACAGCACACAAATATCAACAAACAAACAAAGATATATTGACATAAACAAAAACATTAGAATTTAGCATCCTTTCCAAAGCACAAGAATGCCCCAGGGCAATCAGACACATCTTGAGAGTACAGCCTTTCTCTGTCTCTGCTTTTTCTCAGCAATAAGAATCATCTTCATGGTAATTTAAGAGATTGCTCTGAGGCTTCATATTTCTTTCACAACCTGGAAAGAGCTATTCTTCAGCACTAACTCTCTATGCTGATTTGGAAGAAAATGTCCCCCGAAGGGAATGGCATTATTCGGAGGTGTGGCTTTATTGGAGGAAGTGTGTCACTGTGGGGGCATACTTTGCAGTCTCTTTTACTCAAACTTCCCTCAGTGTAACATTTGTTGATTTTCTGTTGCCTACAAGATGTAAAACTCTCAGCTATTCCTTAAGCACCACATCTTCATGCATGATGTCAATGCTCCCTGCCATTATGCCAATGGACTGAATTTCTGAAAATGTAAGTAACTCCCCTCAATTAAATGTTTTCCTTATAAGGGTTGCTGTGTTTGTGGTATCTCTTCATAGCAATAAAACCCAAACTAAGAGGGAACTTAGTACTGAGGTATTTTTGAGATAGTCCTGATCATGATTTTGTTTGGAGGAATTTTTACTTTAATACTTTGGGTTATGAAAGCAGTGGAATGCTTTAAGTGCTGCTTAATGATCTATACTAGAGGGAGCATAGAATACAATCATGATAAGACTTATTTGGATTATAGGAGGCTCACTCCAGATATCAGAGGAGAAGAAGTTTAGCATGTTTCATAGAGATTATTCTTGTTATGTTTTGGTGAAGAAAGTGGTCACTTTTTGCCCTTGTCCAAAAAGTCTACCTGAGACTAAGGTGCAAATTTTTTGATGAATTCTACTAGCAAATGCAATTTCAAAATGGCCTACTATAGACTCTGTTATGAGGTTTTCAGTGATAACTCTAGTGAGGACATATAATGAAAAGGACCACCTGAGAAGGGTAAATATCAAAACGTAAATTTTGAGGAGAAAAATAGTATCCGGATGTGAAATGCAGCTAAACCCTATTTCAAGAAGATAAATAGTTTAAGAAATGGAAAAACAGGAGTAGTGACTTCAGTTCAAGATCTCACCCAGCTAACCTTTCTACTTGTGAAAAGGAAACTAGTAAAAAGCTTAGAGTCAGGTGTGGTGGGCACATCTTTAATACTAGCATTGGGAAGGCAGAGTCCGGCAGATATCTGAGTTTGAAGCCAACCTCCTCTAAAGGAAAAGTTCAAAGACAGCCAAACTTAGGGAGTAAAGAATAACAGATAGCTGGTGAATATGTAATTAGAAAAAGGGCCCATGTTTCAGCTTCAATAATCAAGAGAACTTAGCAACTTTGGCCATGTGGTTCTAGCTTTAGATTTAAAAAAAAGAAGAAAAAAAGTTATGGAATGAAGCTTCTAAGGCCAGGTATGTGTCAGGCGTATCCCTGAATGGCGGTCTAGTACAAAGGTCACTGTGTGAAGCTGCGAAGTTAAAGCTTGTGTTGATTTGGCTGGCTTGAGTACAATGTGAACAGCACAAATCTTTCCATGTGTTAATGCAGATAAATATGTCACCTTTGAATGTTTGTGTGGTTTTAGTGCAGGGGTCTCAGTCAACAATAAAAGAAAGTATCCCAGGTAATTTAGATTCTCAGAGACCCTCTGTTTCAACTTGCTCAGAATTCTGCATCCAGAAGAGATTAAAGCTTACTGGATCATATGGTCCAGCCTCACAGACATTTTATTCAGGAATTCAGATAAGCCTTGAACTTTCCCATTTCAAAGAGATTGGACAACAAATATTATGACTATTTTTTCCAGGAGTTGACCATTATCTCAATTTTATCAGGTTCTCTGAAGATGGCACTGACCATAAGCAATGGAAAGCAGTTTAGAGAACACAACACCCACATTTCAAGGAGGTGGTTTTGATCATTCAGAGTTATGGATGTTTGTCATCATTTAGGGTGTTTGCTTGTAAATGGATACTGGTCATGATGAAGGTGGAAAATGAGTATGGGGTTTGGTTCAAGTATCTCTTTCTGAAAAGAAAAGAGGGAGATACGGGAAGACAGGATAAAAGTAGATTAGAAAATCTACCTTTTGAATAAAAGCAATTATTAATAAGAAATATTTTAAGTTGGTATGAATTTTGTACATTGATTCAACCTTAAGGTTGTTTTGTTATAACATTTTGTGTATATGTTTCTATTCATTTTAGGGATTTTTTAAAAAATTTTTTGTTGAAAAACTTTCTGCCTCCTCCCTGCCTCCCATTTCCCTCCCCCTTCCCCCTCTCCTTTCCACCTCTCCCCACTCCTCTCCCGCTCTCCTCACTCCTCTCCCCCTTCCCCCACTCCATTCCCCCTCCCTCTGAAGAACAGTCCATTCCCTGCCCTGTGGGAAGTCCAAGGTCCTCCCCACTCCATCCAGGTCCAGGAAGGTGAGCATCCAAACAGGCTAGGCTCCCACAAAGCTAGTTCATGCAGTAGTATCGAACTCTCTGTGACAGTGGGGCTGATCTATTGGGAGCTCACCAAGGCCAGCTGGACTGGGACTGAATAAGCATGGGATAATACCGGACTCTCTGAACATTTTAGGGGTTTTTGTATATTAGTACAAACGAAGTTATTTTTATTTTAATACAGCCTATATGTCTTTACTCTTGTTTAAATTATTTTTGTGTATTGATACATATTTATTCTTATTTTTGTTACAAAAGACTGTATATATATTTATACTCTTGTTTGAATTATTGTATCTCTGCAGTTCTTATAGAAATGTAAGGTAATCCTTAAAAGCTAATATTATTTCCTATTTATCAATGCCTAAGGAAGGTGGGAGAGTTGATCTGTGGTAACAAGAGTGGGAGATGTATCCCTGACCCCACAAGCTGTAACACTCAGAAATCTAACCCTGTATAACTCCTGTGCAACATAATAGAGCCAAGTCTGTTGATGCAAAAATGGGTGAGCCAGATACAAAGAGGTGAGCATGGGAGAGCTGTTACCGTTATTCATCTGTTTTGTGGTAGCATAGGCAGGATAACAATGTCCTTTACCTCCCACCCATCAATGCCTAAGACAGGTGAGAAAAACTGGCCCTTGCCACAAGAGTAGGAGAGCTGTCCATTCCTGTGACCAGCTACAATGCTCAGAAGAGCAGACTCTGAAACTTTCCTGAGTAAAACAAAAAAAGCAAACCTGTTGTGGAGGTGTGTGTGAGCCAGGTCTGAAGTAGAGAGAATGGGAGATCTAGATCCGCCTCTCATCTGCCATATGACAGCATGGCCTGGGAAGAGAAGCACTTCCTCCATGCTTATCAATACTTCAGGCAGGTGGGAGAGCTCTCTCTGTGGTCATAAGAGTGGGATAGTTGTTCCTTACTCCACCAGCTGCAGCACTCAGGAGAATAGGCCCTGTACCTCATAAAGATAGCACCTGAGAGCCAACTATTTTAGCAGATGTATAGGTAAGCCAGGTCTGAAGTTGTGAGCATGGCAGAACTGTCCCATTACTCATCTCTCTTGTGGCAGCATGGGCAGGGGAGAGTTGCCCCTCCCTGTGGCCCATAAAATTTCCAATATCTACACCATCTTTGATCTATTGGAAGATGTGAAGGGACCTTACTCACAGACCCAAAGCTTCAGGATCTCCAAAACACTGGACAACAACAGGATATCTAAGAAAAGTCCCAGTGATGGTCCAGAATCAAAAGTACAGTAGAATCCAAAGCACTCCTACTAGACCAATGACTCTTGGAATGAACACTTTCACCAAAAGATAAATATACAAAGGGGTTTCTCTGTGACTCACTGTGTCCCACTAGAGCTTCCATGATAATTTTTCCCTCCTTAAAGAAAGTTTGTTGGGTTTTCTCTCTGGTTTTTCCTTTTTCTTTTAACTTTTGTTTTATTTGGAGAGGTCCAGAGGCAGAGAGATAATACAAGGTGATGGGGAAACGAATAGGATCAAAGTACATGATGTAAAATGCAAATAGAATAAATAAAAAGAACATTAAAAAGATGATGTCTTTCTAACAAAATATAAATGATAAAAGTCATTGCACTAGAGAAAGGAAGTTATTATTGTAAACCATTCAAGTAAATTAAGAAACACGGTTCAGTAGTTAGTCACCTATAACAATCAACCTTATATTCATGTTAGGTATGTTTTCAAATTTTTATGGAGATACATTTTAGGTAGATTTATGGCCCTCAAATACTTCCAGTACCTATAGACTATGGCATTTAAAATGTTTTGTCAATGTAGGACTTTTCGTGAGAATGAGACACGACTGGCAACACCAATGTACTTCATAAAGGAATGGTGGGCATCGAAGAACCTCCACTTGAGCTTGGTTTCCTTATGGCGAACTAGTAATTTGGGGAAGAAATTGCTCTTGCCCTGAGTGCTAACAGCATACCATCCAAACTTAGCAAGTAGGACACAAAAGAAAAAGTCTCCTGAAACTTGCCAACATAAAGTGGGCAGTCTT